TAGATAATAATTTCTTATCTATAATTTCTTTCAACTTACCATCTGAACAAAAAATAAATAAAATGAAAGTTCTCATCTATGTTTAATAGGAAATGCATAATTTGATGGTAATTTTTTAAAATATTCTTTTAATGCCTTCAGTCATAAATTATTTAAAATTTTCATTCAAACATTAAAATTCAATCATTTTTGGATGAGCAAACGATGGTTTCTATTATTTAACATGCTTAGGGGCATTTTTGGAATGACAAAAAAATGTAACAACACATGGTTGACACATGTTTTTGCAAGGGTAATTTTGTCATTCAAAATATTTTGCCAATGCAAGTGAGTACTTCAACGCTCACATACTAAAAGAATTGGAGTAATGTGATAACTTTGTAATAGTATTAAAAATTTAAGAAACAAATTAAAATTTTATGATAAAAAATTAAAAGTGGTGGAAATTTTATGATTTTAGTCCCTTATATAATATTAAAGTTCTAGTTCCCTATTTTCTCACTTTTTTAATACAAAATCATATCTTACATGGATATAGAGTTTCGGACGGACCAAATGAGATGGCCCATGTTTTGGGGCTATTGTGGGCCTTGGGCTTCTATACTACAAATGTCTTTTTGCTTCTGTTTTGGGCCATTATAGGCCTTGGGCTTCTAGACTACAAATGTATTTTTCCTTTCTGTTTTGGGCCATCATGGGCCTTTGGTTGGTTTTGTTTGAAAATGTTTTGGGATTCCCCACTATTGTGGTTTGGTCCATTTTTGGCCCAGCCAGTTTGTTCATTCTCTCTTTTATACTAAATAAAAAGAAAATTAACCTTTGCATTATTTGAATAAAATTACTAGAACTCTTAGGCATTGGTTAAATATGATCAATTTTTGTTAAAATATTTTCGGGCCTCAAGCCTTCCTTATCATCTCCTCTTCGTACAGAAAATTCTATTTATTATGTTAACTTTGCGTGCATTATTGTTTCAAAATGAGTGTGTGTACTGTTGAACATTCTATGGTTCAAAAAAATAATTCAATTATATGAAAATATAATTTTTTTGTGCTTAATTTTGTAATTTCTTGCTTACACAAGTACTTCCATCTATCACATTACATACATACATACATACACACGTACGTACGTATATATATATATATATATATAAAAGCGAAAAAATAGATTTCAGAGCCCAAAATTTAAAATAACAGTTGTAAAGTGACTTAAAGTCTAAAAAAGACAAATAGTCACCGATCCTAAAATTAAATTGTTGTTTAGTGACCATCCTAGGGTAATTTTGAAAAATCTATGGGAAATGATTTTTGCAAAGTGAATTATTATACTTACTCTTTTAATTAGTTAATTATGTAACAAACAAGGAAGTGGAGCCCTCCACTTAATTGTATTTAATATAAATAGTCAATTAAAATTTATTCAGTTAGATAATTCACTGCAAATGTTTGGCATCAGTATTCAAAATCTATTTAGGCCCAGTTTAGTTGGAGAGTAATGGAGGGAAATGAAATGTTGTATTTGGTATGAATTTTTAAAGAAAAATAAATAAAATGGAGGGATTTGGAAAGAAACAAATTATACATGGTGTGTTAGTTTTGTAATCCCTCAAAGACTAGGAGAAAATGAAAGTAAATGATAGAAAATGCTAGCTTTTTAAATAAGTTTTGTTAATATTAAATTTACACTAATTTTTATAAGAGACAAAATCTATAAAAAATGTTACTATAATAAATTCACTAAAATACTTAAATTTTATTTAATTTCTTAAATATGATTATTATTATTATTTTTTATTAATCTACCAAATACAATAAGTAATGAACAATATCACCTCATTTTCTTTTTTTTCTTTTCTCTCGTGTCTTACCTACATAACTTCTAGTTAATTATATATCACTTGCTTCATCTATTCTTTGTTACGATCACATCACCACCCCACCTCTCTAGTTTTCTTTACGAAGCCATTTCCATCTCCTTCTCACAAAAATAACTAGAACTCAATACAATTTTATTACAACTAAAATTCAATTCATAATTTTATTTCAACTAAAACTTAAAATAAAAAAAACTTACATTTAAAGTGTTTGTATATATAGATTAAGCAAATTAAGCAAGTCCTTAGGACATTCAAATATAAAATAATAAAAACTTACATTTAAAGTGTTTGTATATATAGATTAAGCAAATTAAGCAAGTCCTTAGGACATTCAAAATATAAGTGATACCATGGAGAAATGCACAAACACAATTCTAAAAAAGGAAAAGCAAATCATTCCAACAATTAAGCTGTTTTCCACATTAACGAAAGCAAATAATCCTTAAGTTGCTTTCCACGATATCAATTTTAACTAAAAGCAAATAATCCCATCAGTCAAGCTGGTTTCAACATGAATAATCTCGTAACAACAACTAACTACAACAAACAAAGTAACCTTAATGATAAACTAATCAAATCTCATAAGGGGCTTGCATAAGAAAATAGTCTTTTGTTCAGCTTTGAACCATGTACCATATAGATCGATCACTCTCGGCGATTTCTTCCATTATATATAGGCTCATCTACAATTACATCGTCCTTGCCACAAGTTGCTAAATAGTCTGCCAAGACGTTGACCTCCCGATTGCCATAGCACACGGTGTGAATTTGCTTTTCAAATCCACAATCATCCTAAAACAAACACCATAATTAGTACTTTTAAGGATAAAAAATTAAAAAAATAAAATAAAAATAGAACAGGAGACATATTTTACTTGTAAACCTTTGCATATTTCATATCCCACTTTTTAGAATCACCGCACAACTTTAAAACTAAGCTTCGACAGTCTGAAACGAGTACTACATTTTTATACCCCTTAAAATAGTTTCTGGTTAGATCGCCATCATCTCATACTCGTAAAAGGTTGCCATATTGTGCAAAGGCCCACATTAATTCTTAGATTTTCTTCTAATTCATATTTGAATTAATTAAAAATTATGTTTGGAGTTTCTATTTAAATTATATAAATTCCCAACACATGCTAGTTTCTTAAAAAGAACAATAACAAAACAAATAATAGATAATTCTACATACAATTGCTTTATACATTTTTAGTGAATTAAATTTGCACCAATTTTATGCGTAACAAAATTTTCAACTTTATCACAAGTACTGGTTAATGTAGCATATAAACAAACTAACTACTCCAATAACCGTGTGACAACTTTATCTAGTGATTGGTTATCTATATACCTAATGTGATGGATAAAAATTAGGCTAGCTGGTGATGGACTTCCTAGAAGAAAAATAGCATTAAAAAGAAAATGAAAAACTTGACTATCTAAGAGTAAATGCATCCTTATGGATTCTGTTTGAAGTTCATAGTTATTACCGTGGCAACAGATTTTACACCTCATCACAATAGTTTTGTTCAGATGGTAAGTTGCAAAGGGTAAAGATTTTGATGGATGTTGTAAAATCATGAAAATTAATAAAATGTACAAAAATTGCGAAATTGTGGTGAGAAAATTCAGAGCTAGTGGCGACGTACTCTTAACAAAATGAAAAAAGGAAAGCGAGATTACAAGGAATCAATGCATGCTTAGTAAAAGAGACGTGCATTGAGATCCTGAATTAAAAAAATAATAAATCAGTTGCAAATGCTTTCGAATAATTTCTTACAATAGGTTAAGTCACAAACTGTTTTGTCCTACAGAAAACCCTGCAAATGATTTTAAACCTGCAATCGGTAATTAACCTGCAAATGAAAATGATCTTGTGGACCTCATCAACAAGAATCGAACAGCTCAAAGGCTTTCGCTACTAAACAACAGTCCTGGTCTTGGGTGCATGGCCTTGCAGTATGCAGAGGAATGCAAAGCCGGGAACTGCACTGCTAACAACATCATAAACCACCGGAAGATGACTTCACAGAGGTTTTTGCTCCCAATTGTGGTGTGCAACTACCCACTTTTGGCATCATATCTCGCCACATTGTTGGGTGTCAACACAAATATCTCGAGCCATCAGAAGCCTTCTCGCATGTCCTTGTTCGAGATACGAAGAAGACTCTATCCCTAGTGAGAAACAAAACACATACTGCAAGTAGGAGTTGGCTATGTTGGGAATCATAAAGGGGCTTACTTTTGGTGTGTTTTGTTCAGTAGTAGTCAGACAAATACTACATTTCAAGCAAAAGAAAGGGTGCTATAGTGGAAGCAGCATTCCTTGCGCAGTGGACAGGAAAAAACCAGTACGTGTGTTTTCGAACAATATTTTTGCCGTGTGTTTTCTATATATTTATCTGTTGGAACACTTGTGCTCCAATTTATTCTTGACAAATTGAAAAAAAAAAAAAAAAAAAAAAAAAAAAACTTTTATTTACATGCTCCAAAGTTTTGTTTCCGACTCTGGAATACTTCCAAGATGCAATTTTCTGGCTCCATTTTTTCCGTGTGGTTTTGAAGATTTGCACTTCTTGATCTTAGCAAGTGCGAGACAGTGTGTATTATTCCCAGTACGACACATCCTAATCTATGAGATATTTGTAGCTTTTATGACACAAGAAGCATCTCATGATATTTGATAAAAAAAAATTCAAAAAACATAAAAAACGATTGCAGGTTCTATAAAATCAGCAAGGAAGGTGATATTTAAGCCGTTCTTGATTTGTTTAGACTTTGTTACAGTGACAAATTCAACATTGTTAACATCAGTTATTTTGTTTAGATGAATGCCATTTACCTAAATTATTCAAATTTAAACGAGGTTAGGAGTTATCACTGTACGTTATTTTCTTTTCCTTTTCTTATTAAATTAATATTACTCCTTCCATTTCCCTACTATTCTGAGTATAAAATCCTAAGCAGCGTGAAGAAAGCCATGTCGGAAGTATTAGACTGAAATTCAAAGAGAACCTGTACATTCCATGAGTGCACTTTATGTCCCATTGAATTAGTTGATGAATTAGTCTGGCTGATTATAAAGAGCTTGGAAAATATTGAAAAATCATGATGAATATAATTGAACGAACTAAATACTTTTGTCCACAAATGAAAATAAACGCCTTTGTCCTCCTTAAACAAGCCCATTATGCCGATAGCCACGACATTCTATTTCAATGCAGAATCTCAAAATATTCTATATCAGTATCTAAACACAATCACCTTCCCTGTTCATTTTATGCTCTTAATGAAGAGGGATTTAAAGATAAATTTTGGAGGTTCCTATTCTCTTCTTGCCTTATTATTCCACACCCGAGTTTCTCAGCAGTCTATAATGTGAGGCTTCCATTGAGTCTCCCAATGTGTCAATGCCTTTTTCCGTTTTTTTGGGGGCAAAACTGTTGTACAAAAACTTTACAATGAACAAAAATGAATAGTTCAGGCATTTAAGCATATAGTCCGTGTAAAGGGCAACTTAAATGTGCCATTTGGTAGCACCTGACCTATTTTATAGAATCAATGGGACCTAAGGATCCATCTTAGTTGCCAAATCCAAGAGTACATCATCCCTAATGAACAATATATAGAAATCATCATGAGGGGTAGGAAGGGAAGCCTGGTACCGAAAACGATAGGATGTAGAAACTGTCCCCATGTCTCAACAGCCAAAAGGCCCAAAAGGTAACACTTTCTGGTCCATCCGATATAAAACCCTTGTTTCTTGGCAGTGCCAGAACTCCCCTTTAATCTCGATTTATCACCTCTTTTCCACCCTGGTACAGTCTCTTCTACCACTATGGTCTTCGAGAAATGCCACAAAAATCCAAACCACATGACAATGAAGTGTAAAAGCAACAGCAATACCTTTATGGGATACTCTTGGGCTTCAAATAAAAGAGGGAAAAGCGAATAGCAGGACACTACAGAGAAAATACAAAAGTTTGTGTTAGCAAAATCCAAACACAAAGAATAAAGTGGATAATAAATGTGGCAAGAGCGCAAGAAGTAATCAACTTTAACACAAAAATAGAAATGGAGTTAATAGGAAAAGGCAGAAACAACAATCTAGCTTAGTTAAAAAGTGAGCAACCCAACAAGAACAATAAGGGGCTGTGCTTGTTTGGGTTTGGAAGCCAAGGGGTTCAATTATGGAGACAATAGTTGTAAGCAGATGATACAGCTCGTGATTTTTACTAAATCTAGGTAATAATGATATAAGTGATATTGCACATTTAATTTTAAGCAATGAAGAATACAGAAACTTAAGCTATGACGTTTAAGAGATAATAATTTAAACAAATAAAATAAACAACGAAATGCAATAAAGAGCTAGAAATGAAGTGTGGCATTAGGTAGTAATGATATACGTGCTTAGCAGAAACTCATATACCCGAAAAAAAAAAAAGGATTTATTGCAAATAAATTCTAGACCTAAAACCTCCCAAAAGGAAAAGGAAAAAAAACAAAAAAAAAAAATGAGGCCTGGCTAGAACTTCATTGCTAAAACTAGTCACTCGACAACCAACTTCAAAATTTCATAGCTAGACTCAAGTTTCAAGCAAAAAGTTTGATGGGCCTAGAGAAAAAAAGGCCTTACCCCGCTTCCTTTTCCTTCCCCTCTCCCTCCAACCAAACAATGGAAACTCTTTCTTTTCCTTCCCTTTTCCCTCTTTTTTTTCTATTTCCCATTTTTAGCTCCAACTAAATGAACGAGTTTTCTCTGGCCATGCTAGCTGAATTTTTACAATTCAGTATAATTATGTTAAGAAAGAGCTCTCTTTATTTTCTTAAATAGCATTCCAATGCATAATATGATCTAATGCTGTTAATCTCAGCCAGCAGAAAGGGGGAAAAGTCTGTAGAGTTCTTCCATGCAAAACTCAGACCATCATTTGTTTGGAACCTAACTATAGCCTTTGAAGGTCATCAAATTTAGGATTTTGAATTTTCAAGTCAATTGCATGTATTGTATGATTTCTGTATAAACAAGCACATGGAAAAGGTTGTGGTGATTTCTAACAATTATGATAAATGCCAGGAGGAATAGAAAGAGAGGGGTTGCTCTAGCAGTTAGGCCAGTTTTGTTACAAAAAGAGTCGTTGGCAAGAGATAATGGAGTGTGTGAAGGAAACAAAATGTATTCAAAGGTGTTCTATAGCATACTGAACACTTCAAACATTTTTTATCCATATGTGCATAGACTAGAGAAGTAGAGAATGGTTGTGTTAGCATGGATGCCAATAAGTATGACAGGTTTGATCTATGAATGCAAGTATAATCGGCACTTGGCAGACTAATTTAAAAATGTGTATATGTATTTTCATAACTCATGTATGAAAGTTAGGCTGAGCTTGTCTCAGAATGCTTCCTTGTTTTATGTTAGGCAAGTATAAAATTTGTCACATATTTACCCATGAACAGCCTAAACTCATTACTAAATATCTTATAATTCATTTTAGGGTTCTTATTGATACTTGATGTAATTGTATCTTTGTAGCAATAGAGAAATAGTAGCTGGTTATCATAAAGAATTAAGTATTATGGCTCATACTTGAGTCTTTTATGTGAAGGATTACCTTGTTTTGGCCTGCTTAATAATTTATTTACTCCCCATAACATAACATGAAATTCCTTTAATCCAAAGTCACCAAATAATATTAACAAGGTGGTAACTCCATGGACTACTTCACAACAAAGGATGACTGCCCCTAGGGGAAAACCTTTATTCCTCAAAATAAAAGATGTTCATCAAGGGATTGACATGCTACTGAAGAAGTGAAGACCAAGGCATAATTTGCATAATTTTCATTAAGAGGGAGAAGGGGAAAAAAAAGTGTCCATCATCAAATTAAATCTATGAACAAAAATAAAGAGTGATTTCTCAGATAAAATTAATGCCAAAATTGCAGTAAATTTCTAACTTCTTTCGATTTATTAATTTATTTACATTTAATTCAAATGCCACTGACCATCATGAAGTTCTTAATGTTCAGTAAAAAAAAAATAAAGTTCTTAGCAAGTCAATTAAGTCATGTGCATTTCAAAGATGAAAATATTAGCTTTTACTAGAGATTAAACAGTGGTTTATCAGCATACCTATCGACAACAAAAGGTAATGCCTGGCATCCTCCACGCTTTGAGCTGCAACAATGGCAAGAGGGATCACAAAGTGGAGTGATGCCTTTTCATGGACATGCCACCCAAATAGGAACCCGCACATGTAAGCATAGGATACCCATCTAGTAATCATCCTTGGTTGGGGATCCTTCCAAGCCTTAATTAGACAAGGAGATAAGGCTACCAGGACCATCATGAAGGTAATCAAAGGAGTGATCTGGAATTTCATCATTTATTCGAGTACAAGATTAGTTCTTAGCTAACATTTGGTATGTTAAGAAAATTGATAAAATGCTGACAAATTTATAAATTGATCAGTCGGTCAGCTAAATTGTGTGCATCGTGAATGGGCTTGTTTACAGCAACAAATATCAAATCCAGCGCAAATTACACAAGTTATTTAATATTATTACCTGAGGTAGCACGGCCAAAGGAGACGAGTCTCCCACTAGTCCGCCAGTAAATGAAGCAGTTGGCGCTTGGATGCTAAATCCCAGTTTTGCAAGCAAGAAAGCGAGCCCTTTATCAAAAATAATATAAAATACCCAAAAATTTGGAGCCCAGTATGCATGGCAGAGTCCCCTGCCAAAAGGGAACATGCGTTGGAAAACTTGTTGTATCTGCAAAATAAGTACAGTAAGGTTACTAAATAAATAAAACAGTGACAGAGCATGGAAATTTGGATGACAAGCAATAAATAGTGTTGTATTTAAGCCTCAAAAAAAAAAAAAAAAATCGGTGGAGGAGCTAGTAATTAGAATGCTAGTTTCGTTTTAAGCTACATATTCAAAATACTATGCATGGTAGAAATATGAATGTTGAGATGGATGTGGCATAAAAAGAAATAAAATAAATAAATACATTTGAGAGATGGTGCAATTAGCATCACTTTGGAAATAAAATGAGAAAAACCAACTACGATGATTTGGCCCTCGAGAGAGGGTTAAGTAACATGGTCCACATTGAGGGGTTATGCTAGAACACAAATGGAAATTAACATAATTGAGATAGAATCATAATAAGAAAAGCACGGAAACGTATAGATTACCTAGAATTATGACCTAATTCTGCAAAAAGTTGGGAAAAAAAATGACCTCAGACAGTTGGGGGGACTGTGAACACTTTCTTGTAATGGATTGTGTATATACGTTCACAATAATTTCAGTTGACATAAATATTCAAGTTGTAATATACAATCAAGTGGTTCAATATAGCAAAACAAGGGAATAAATATACGAGCATTCTCAACAGTAACAAAAAAAAAAACGTACCAAACTTCATACAAATTTGATTGGCAAATTACCTCGCCATAATATACAAATGGCCCATACGCCGCCATGAAAACCGCCACGACGGCTGCCCCCATCATCACCAACCTCCCGAACCCCCTCACCACCCCTCCACTACAGTAGTGCCGCAACAAATAAACAAAGTAAACCGGTGCAGCCACCGCAAACAAGTGCTTAAAACACAACAAGACCGCAAAAACAAACCCACCCATCAAGTCCTTTCCTTCCTCCAACCACGACAGCGAAAGCAACAAAATCCCCAAAAGAAACCCATTATACTGAAAATGCAAATGGTCAACAATGAGGAGTCCAGGCGACCAAACAATCAAAACCCAGATCAAAATTCGCTTTCTGGACTCCAAATTCTGGGTCAGCCGATAAACCCCATAAATCATAACAGTATCGGAGACGATTACTGAGACTCTTTGGAAGATAATGACGGAAGGGGAGGAGTAATTGAGGCCCTTATGTAGGTCGACGATAATGGGGTCGATTAAGTGAGCGAATAGAGAGAGAAAGCGTTCGAAGTAACCGAAGAAAGGAGGGTAATCGAGGGTCCATGGACTGGTTTCGTTGGAGTACCATTGAGAGAAAGGGAGGGTGTGGGTGAGGGCGAGCCAGTGGCGGTGGACCTCGAAGTCGGTGCTGTGGTAGGCTGGGATGAGGAGGAGCTTGACAGTGGCTGCGACAAGGGCGAACCAGGTGAGGTCGGTGATGGGGTTGTGGGGAGTGGGAGTGGTATGGGTTGTGATCTGGGTTTGCTTCGTTGCGGCTTTCATGGTTTGATCTTAGTACACCGAGAAGAAAAAATGTGTAGTTGAGGTGTTTGATTTGAGGCTTGTGTCATGTCACTAATCATGTTGACATGTCATCATGCCACGTTGCACGTTACTAGCGTTGACGTGGCTAGTAAACCTCCGTAACCTGTTTCAGTGAGATTTCTTCTTCTGAAAAACTAAACCTACAAAAAATTCGTTTAAACATATTACTAAACTTACAAAATATTTTTCTTTACATTAATAACTATTTAATATAAATGTCAACAAAAAATTAACAAAATCTTACTTACCAACATCACTTAGAAACTATATATATGTATATATATATGCATGCATATATATAGATATATATAGAAACATGGATGAAAAGGTAAATGGTATAATTGAGCTAGACTTACCATACGCATAATAGAGTAACTATGATGGAACAAGGAGCTAGACTTACCATGCCCTTTTTTTCCTTTTTCTTTTTTTGAAATTCACATCCAACAGATCTGGAAGAATAGAAAAGGCAAAAAAAAAAAAAAAAAATTGAGAGAGAAATAGATTTTCAACAGTAAAAAGATAAGTTTGACAGAGAAAAAAAAAGAAGATAAATCTTGTTGGAAATTAACAACCTTGATTTTGATGGAAGAAGTTGAGAGGTTTTCAAAACAATCATCACGTAATAATCAACAATCTTATATGATCAAAATTACTTATTAGGAGAAATTATTAAATTGCATCAAACCGGGCTTCATTAAGAGTCAACCCTCACATCTGGGAATCAAATCTTAAAGTACTGATAAATAATTTCTTTGTATTGGGCACCAACCAACCCAGGTATGTATGATAAAAAGTAAAATTACTTTAAATAATTCTTGGACTCCATTCTAATTAAAGTGTGAATGAATTAAAACTATGATTTTTAGGTTCTATTTATGCAATTGTAATGGAAACATATTTATTTTTAAACACTCAACAAACAAAATAAAATTACATTAATATTTCAAAGTAGTCAAAATTCAAAAACACTAAAGTATCATGATAACTATGGGCTTTCCCCACTCCAAATTCTTTGTAAAACGTTTTCAAGTTAGTGTTGATTGATTTAGCATTCAGCTCACTTCCTGACTATCTTATAATTACATAATATTTCTCCCATTGATTGCAAGCTTGAGTTGACAATAAAGACCAATTTGAGTACCACATTTTGTGATGACGAGGATGACATACTTGAACTGTTTCACATTTTGAGTGCGTTTGTGCAGTTGACTTAAACCAAATTTAAGAAACAACAAGATAAGCTACTAAAAAATTGTATTTGATATAAGTTAAAAACAAAACACGTGAGATCAACAAAAATCCAGATGTTCAGAATCATCACCATAAATAAAAATTATATTAAATCCCAACACAAGCTAATTTCTTAAATAGAACCAATAACAAAACAAATAATAAACAAATTCTAAATACAATTGCTTCATAGGATTAAATTTTGCACCAATTTTATGTGTAACAAAATTTTCAATTTTATCATACATCTGGTTAACAAAATAATAACATATAAACAAAGCACCTTTTTCCGATTCCACTCATTTCGGTGAGCTTTCATCTTCTCAAAAAGTGAACCTCCAAAAAATATGTTTGAACATATTAGTACTAAACTTACAAAATATATTCTGAAACAGCAGATAAACACTTGGAAGTTTTCACATTAATATCTACTTAACCTAACACAATTAGCCACTCCAAAACTGAACAAGAATGAGAAGACAAAATGTCAACCAAAGAAGAACAAAATCTTAGTTGAGTATATTACTTCAAGGTTCAATAAAATGAATAAGGTTTTAATATCTGCATTAAATTTCACATTGCATTAATTTCTCACCAAACTTCTTAATATCTTAATTAAACTTTCAACTGAAAAAAAATATCAAAAGCTTGCATTCAAAAGTTTAAAACGCCGAATGAACATATCTGCTGTCAAATGAATGCTCTAGCTTCATCGAGCTTTGCCTGCCCAGGATCGAGCTAGAGCTCGAGCTCGGCTGCTCGTTTATTTATACACACAAAAAATAAAATAAAAAAAGATTTGCATATACGATTCTGTGTGTAAACCCACTGATATTGACTTCTATATCAATCTTCGGTGTTTCATATCCAAAGTCTCACCAAAATTTTTACAAAAAAATACTCCCAATTTCAATCATGCCGATACGAAGAGAAGTGAGACCGGATAAGAGAGACGGAGCACTCAACTGAGAGAGAAACATTTTGCAGAAGTCGCTGATCGGTGGTTTGGGGGAAGGGTAGCGAGTAGAGAGAGAAGATTGAGAATGTTGTGTTAGGGTTTAGATAGATTTAAAGGGGGAATAGAATGGGCTTGTATTACTTCATACTTTTATTTTCTATAGGGTCAGAAAGATAATGAGCTGTGATGGTCCTAATGGATATGGGCTGGGGCTGGACTCTTTTATTTTTAAATGGATGTTGTGTTATGAGTTAAAGTTGAGTTGGGCTGCATTGGATTGGATTTGAACTTGGCCTTTATTAATGTGGGTTAAGTAAATACTCCATACTAAATGAACTAAAAAATTATATTATATTATATTATATATATATATATATATAATATAATATAATATAATATAATATATATATATATATATATATATATATATATATATATATATATATATATATTTAGAGTTCAAAATGAGTCTTTAAACGAACTTGTTCACGAACAAGTTCCTGAACAAATAAACTGGACAGTGAGATATTTGAGCTTCGCTAAGAATTTTATTTGAACTTGGACCGTTTATTAAACAAATGAACACAAGCTGATCTCTTAACTAACCGAACTCAAGTTGTTGGTCAACCAACCAAAAAGTGTAGAAGTGGACTAGGTCTAGGCTGCGAATTTGTTTTCCACTAATAAGCTAACTCAACAATCCCAAGTTACTTATATGATAGGTACTATTTTTCCCCATTAAAGAACACCTACTCCAATTTTAATTTTTATTCTCTTTTTTTTTAATTATTTTTTTTGAAGTCATATTGGGAAACTTTATATTGAAAATCGAAATTTTGATACTTGATTTATTATGCCTTTGTAATATTTGTAATTTCAATCATAACCAATATTTTGCATGTCATTTAATATTTTTAAGCTCAATTATGAAAAAAAAAATAAAAAAATTTACTATCTATTTTAAAATTTTAAATTATTAATTTAAAATTGTGTAACATTTTTTTTTTTTTTTTTTTTTTTTTCTTTTTTTTTTTTCACATGTGATCAAATTTTTAGTTCGAACACATGTATACGTAGTTATAAGGAACGCGCGGAGCCAAGAAGGTTTGAGTAGGGGCGGGGCCGGCCTTGAGATTCCAAACAATTTGAAAGAACCTAGGCGAACTTTCAAATGTGAGGCCCTTAAGTTTCACATGTGCAAAAAAAAAAAAAAAAAAGAGTACGAAATTTTAACACGATGTTTTCAAATTCTATAGCTAATATAATTGTGCGCCTGTGCATAAGACAACTAACTAATAACTATAAATTTATCACCACCAACAAATAATTGTGCGTCTGTACCGTGTGCATAAGACAACTAACTAATAACTACTCCCTCTGTCCCAAAAAAAAAATGTCATGCTTTCCTTTTTGATATGTCCCAAAATAATTGTCACTTTCTTTTTTCAAACAATATATTTTACATCTTTCCATATATGTCCTTGGAGTTTAAAATTTCAAACTTGAATATTCAAAACTTAGAAGGGCAAATTAGTAACTTTCTAAGGATACAAGGCATGTCCCACATGTCCCATTAAAAATTCCTACTCCCCAAAAGCAACATCTAAATTGGGACAGAAAGAGGATAAATCTATCACCACCAATAAATAATTGAGCGTTTGTATAGTGTGCTTAAGATAACTAACTAATAACAATAAATTTTTATCACCACCAATAAATAATTGTGCCCCTGTGCATTTTGCATAAGACAACTAACTAATAACTATAAATCTATCATCACAAATAAATAATTCTGCGCGTGTGCAGTATGCATAAGACAGCTAACTAATAACAATAAATTTATCAATTAAAGAGTGCGAAATTTTCACAGGCACAAAATAAAAAATGAACAGAACAGTTTACTAGAGAACAGAAAACTGCAGCTTCTTTTACATTCATTGTTTATATAGCTACCAAAATTTGATGCTTACTTGACAAAATATGTGGAGATGAGGTAACTATATATAAATAGAGGCTGAACTTGTAGCACTGGAGAAGTAGTGGGACTTTTAGGTTATATGTGGCATCCACCATCATATATAGTTTTGTCTTTCACTCTTTATATTAACTACACTACACTTTGTGTGTGTTTTTTTTGGGAGCCAATTACCCCTTTCGGGCCTTTCTTGATTTCAGGATGAGGAATCAACTTTAGTAGCAGTGATTGATTGATCATTGCTACAGAAGACCTGTGCAAATTAATAGAAAAACCATTAACTTTTGTTTTGTTAACGCCTGCTCTTGATTTCCATGTGTTTGTACATTCTGATGGCAAGTGCTTTGACAGTATTATTAACTGAAATTCTAGCTGAGCCAACTTCAAATAACATCAATAATAGTGGTATGTATCTTCATATTAAATTTAACAAAAAAAAAAAAAAAAAAAAAAAAAGGAAAAACCCTTAATTTGGCACTTCTAAGTATGAGCATAATTTAGAGATCGAAAAAGTTAGCTCAACCCACTAGAAGGGATCCTTAATTTTCGTAGGATTGAATGTGAAAATGCAAAAAATTATGAGGAAGGGGTATGGTTGCTGCTGTTGTGAGATTGGAGTGGAATTAGGTTGAAGGAAAAAAAAAAAAAATAAAGTACCTGCCATTGTGGACCCGATCGCCATGAAAGACGCATGTAGAAAGGCACACATTTATCAAAATACTAAGAGAACCATAATATATTCATTCAGCTTTTGATAGCCATCACACACACAAAAAAAAAAAACCCTAGTTTGGAAGCTACTTTTCACTATTGGAACAAAGGTAAAGGCCCGAACAAAAGTTAGAACAAATCAAATGATGAGATTAACGAAATAAAGAAATATATATAAAAGATCGATTCATGCAAAAGGAGAGAGAAGAGAGAGAGAGGATGAACATACCTTGTCACCTGAGGCGATAGCGGAGGCTGCGCCCTGCGGAGTGTCGAAGCAGATTGTGTCGTCTGAAACTTGCTTAATTTTTTTTTTTTTTTTTCCCCATCCCGGGCCGCAAAATTTGAGGCCTCTAAAATTTGAGGCCCAAGGCGACCAAGACTTGTCCTAACTTAAATTTTTTTTTTTTTTGCAATCCCCTATGACTATGAGCCTAAAATTTGAGGCCCAAGGCGACCGCCTTGGGCCAGGTCCGGCCCTAAGTAACGGTGGCTGCCCCCACATAATTTTTTATTTTGTCAAAACTTCAATAATGCCCCTCAAATGTTTTGACAAAACCTCTTATCATACTCCCAAATTCACAACAATCATCTTCTCATCTCCCTCTCCAATGACTAACCTGGCTTTGAAAGCTCTCACTAAACCTATAGCTCTCTTTTTCACTCTCTAAAATATATCTCATGAATTGCACTGACGATTTATAAATTAAGAAGTGATGAAGAGTTTTTCCTTTCTATCTTTTTATTTTTCGCTCCTCTCTCCTTTTTTGAGATTTACATTTTTGCGCAACTTCGAATATTAAATTTTCATCCATGCACATGCTTAGTATGAAATTATCCTTTAAGTTAGAATATTTTATTTATCATTATAGTAAGAATTTTTATTTTTATTTTTTTATTATTTTTTTTTTTATGATTTTTATTTACGGTTCAAGGTCCAGCATCTAAAAATATATTATGGCTCCATCATTGTTTGTGTTGTAATTTGACTTAAGATGTTGCGTAAAAAAAATTGTTATGACCTCTTGAACTACTTAAGTTTCACTTATCTACACATTATTCCGCTCGACTAAGAAAACTTTTCTTCGTTTCATTAATCACATATTACTCTGTCCAATTGAAAAACTCTGCTTGAAATTAATGAAAGTGATACTTTGCATTTATTCACATTGTCTTTGGTGTTATTTAAAAAATAAAAAATAAAAATAATCTAAAATTTGATACTGATGTTATCAGTTTTCTGTGGTTTTTGAGGTGCACACTGTGATTGTATCAGTGGAATTTAACATTGGTTACACGTTTAGTGAAATTTAACCTTATAGAAACTCATTACATTAAACATAATAATAATAATGTATATATAACCCACCATTAATATTATATAGATGTATTTTTTATTGCATGAGTGGATTGTGCAATTGAGGGAAAGATTATAGGAAGATAAAGAGATTATATATATTACAAAAAGATATATGAAATGATTAAGATGTAAACCTAAAAAGAAAATTTAACTACCATATATCACAATAAATATGATCAAATGTTTTTTTTTTTACTAAAATATTTTCAGGCCTCAACCGATCATTTTGACTATACAATGTTTTGGCTTCGTCTAGTTGCAATTTCTATGTCATATAAAAAAGGTTTATTGTAATCTAAAAATTAGGACATGAATTTAATTATATTAATACGTAACCTATATTTTTGTTCTTGATTTGATAACTTGGATGCTTTAGACAAGTAGTGGTTTCATACATTGTACCATCATATAGACCTGGCTACTCCATTAAATTTAGGGGTGGGATTTGGGCGTGGATTAGTCCACACCAAATTTGAACACATTTATCCATGCCATACCTTATATGTTTAATGAGCTTTTTGGTTTCTCGAGTTATTCCAAAATTTAATAATTTATTACCATTTTTTTTTTTTCGTAATTGATACTTAGGCACATATATAAGTGTTTCATTAGAAAATTAATTCTTATTTATTTGTTATTTGGCGTATATATGAAATGCTTTAATATACGCCATAAAGCCAAGCTTTAATAAGAATATTTCACTCTCCACATATACAAATGTTGGATTAACCGACGACTAAGAAAGAGATGAATCTGCTTCAATTACTCGAGTATTTTGAACCTTCATTGTACACGATTAAATCATTAGACTGAGACTATTTAAATTGAGACTGCAAATGGAATGAATTATTGATGAACAATTTAGATCTTGATATCCTCTTTAGCAAACAAAAGCAAGCTATTAGGTTTGAATTACTTGAATTAATTCCACTGCGCTCTTTTAAAATGAGTGAACTGCAAACAAATATTCTATAATTTGAAAAGCGTGCAAATAATAATATTCGTGTTCAAATCACATCCCTTTAATATGATAAGTCAACAAATAAATATTTCTGACATCAAAAAATGACAAGTACAACCAAAAAGCCTCTTTAATACCAACACTGCCTTTTTGAACTTTCCAAAATTACCTTTCACTCATTTATATATATAATACCCATATTTCTATTAATATTTAATTTATTTTTTCACTCTCACAGACTATTTATTTCTATTTATATATATACACACATATATATAATTGCACACGCATTTTTTGTTATTACTAGTATTAGTATTTTTTTTAGGGAAAATTACATATAAATGGAGTCAAAGTTCCATATTTACTTAGAGGCTGAGTCAAAGTTCCATATTTCTCTAAAATGGATTGCTGAGGTGGCACATGGTTTTTTACTGTTTAGAAATTGTGGTGCCTAAAATACCCTTCCGCGAAGGTACTACTTTTTCTTCGAAGGTACTACTTTTTTGAACTGAAGGTACTACTTTTTAGTGTCCAGGTACCATGTTTTTTAAACACTCGCGAAGGTACTACTTTTTCTTCGAAGGTACTACTTTTTTGAACTGAAGGTACTACTTTTTTGAACTGAAGGTACTACATTTTGTTAGGGAAGGACATTTTAGGCACCACAATTTTCTAAACAGTAAAAAACCATGTGCCACCTCAGCAATCCATTTTAGAGAAATATGGAACTTTGACTCAGTCTCTAAGTAAATATGAAACTTTAACTCCATTTATATGTAATTTTCCCTTTTTTTTACTCAATTTTTGTTCAGTTGCGTACAATCCTCTCTTTAGAAAATTTGATTTACTCAAAAAAACAAAGAAAAACACTCTCTCGGCTAAGCAGAGGCCAAACAGGGCCTTAGCAAAATAGATGATGGCCCTCACATACATACGGCATCACAATGAGGGGAGTCGCAGTGGACAAAGAACAATCAAAGACGGAACGGAGAGTTGAAGAGCTGGTCGACCTACGAAGATATTTGTGTGGACCCACAGGAAATTCTTTAAACAGAGTTTAGTTACCGACGTTTAGACCTAGCCCACCTGTAATCTTTTGTTTGATTTTTGATTCATGGTCGATTATTAAAGGAAAACAACCTTTAATAAATTTTCAATCTTGTCTACTTTATGAGAAAAAAGTAACTAAATATCTTTATCCCGTCACTTTTTAAATTTTACTCAATCTTCTCATAATATAATAATTTTCAAATTTATATTATTAAGGTTTTCATTAATGTTATAATATGTTTTGGTGGAAAAAAAATAAAAATAGACATATTTAAAAATTGGATCAATCTTTAATACAGTATTTTTTTTAAAAAAAAAAAAAAAGATTAATGTCAAAATGTATATAAAATGATGATGTTTAAATAAAAAAATAAAAAAAATAAAAATAAAAAAACCTTAGATCAAACATCAGAAAAAAAAAAAAAAAAAATCAGTTTCACAATCCAACTAACAATAATTTTTTTAAACGTATAGTAGTTGATTGTATAAACGTATGAATTTGCAGGTGACTCCTCAGGACAAAGTGAGATTAGTAAATTTTTCTTCACCTCCCTACTCTTTTCTTTTCTTCAAGTACTACTTTTGGATTAATGTTGACATCCAAGAATTGCGCCTGCCTTCTCACAAAAATCTGTCCTATCTGGGCGCTAATAAACTCTAAAATATCACCCTACCTTTTAGCCTTCAATTTAACACCGGACTGCCATAGTTTACTGCTTAAGATTTTTATCAGCTATGTCTCGACAATCTAACAGCCTATCACTTCCCAAACCAAGCTAATTCTGACTCCTTTCATCTATAAACCCTATACATATTCCTCTACCTTGCAAAGCCATGGTTCTATATGCTTTTGTTGATAAAAGAACACCATAAAATTACTTGTACGCACATAATACTAAGTTTACTAAGTTGTGGCATCATGAGTGCAATATTGGTACATCTTTTAATGGTGAGATCAACTTCTACAATTAGTGAATTTTTATGGTGATATATGAGCACCAAAAGTTGTGTGTGTTGCTTTATCTGCAAGCTCATTCAATCCCAAGGTTCCAAGCTCATTTACTTATTTTTTGTAATTTTTAACAGAGTCCAGTTGCATACGGAATGGAGGTTTGGAGGTCTGAGTTGACATTAGCCTTCTTGCTCAGGACATGAGCTACAACATTACCACTACGAGGAACTCAGGAGAGAGACGAGCCCACACACTCTAAAAGAAGAGAAGAGACATCGCTGAACACCACCAACTGAGCAGCCACCGAGACCTTTAACGGCATAACCGGCTGACTTGGAGTGGTGCATCTAGCCCTCGTGGCTGTTGCAGTTACTTCTTCCTGATTGTATTTCGGGTTCTTATCAATGATATTCGGTTTGTTTGGTAAAAAAAAAAAAAAATTATACTTTGTTTTTCATCATTCGATGGGGGTCATACGCTATATCAAAAGTCATAGATAGAGTATTCCATGGGAACCTTATTTTTCTAGTAGACCCCAGCAATGAGAATATTTGCGGCATATCTTCTATCAAGAAATCGATTTACCTCCTTTGCATTTGCAATCAAGAAGGGAATAACTCATAAATGATTGACTAACAATCTTTGAAGGTACTGAAGATTGCTAATCCAACCCTTCCAAATTATCTATTCATTTAAAATTTATTCCTTTGGAGTTTCATTTGTTGATCAACATATTCTTCTTGTTGCATTGCATGATTGATAAATCAATTTTGGCATATCCTCTTGCTCTTATCTTCAGCTCTTACAAATAATTATGCTGTAACATACTTTGATATTGATTAATGCTGATAATTTATTTATGTGCATGTGGAACTTTTGTAGATTGAACTATTAACTGTTGGGATTGGATCTTTATACTATCATGTCTTGTTGTACACTAGGGACTCATCTTTGCTTGACTGCACTAGGGGTAGACTTGGCCATTGGTTGAATTGTAAATGAAGCTATTACAAGAGC